AACATCTTAATCCGATCGCTTCGCCTCCGATACAAGGCTCCCCTTCTCGCAGCATGGCGACAGCCGCGCAAATCCTCAACTCCCCCTTCATTCACACGTATATGTATCTTGGATTAACCTCACACCTAGGTCTCGATGTTAGCGCATGTATGACTCACACATCCGATCTATAAATGCACACGCGCAAACCCCACACACGACACAACGACACCAACGTGGTTGACCTCTAAAGTAAGCGGTTGTGTCCACGTCCTCTTCGGTCTTTTCCTTCATCGCGGGTACGAGGGAAGCGTAATTGGGCCAGGATTAATTCTGTGGCCCCGGCGTGGTTCAAGACCACATGCTGGGGCCCACAACAGCCTATATTCAAACTAAATGAATCTCTGTGGATGAATTTGCATTTATAACATTGACAGAGAACGCAAGTGTTGGGCTGGACCTACCGAAAAAAAGATATGGGTGATATAATTCCATGAAAATAAAAAGTTACTCGCCGTATGGCTTATTTAGTTCTCTCGCACGGATTCTTTCTCAGAATTTTTTGTCACCCCATCACAGCTCTGATCTTGCTTCACAGGTTACCATTCAATAAAGCACTTAAAACGAATCATATTTAAGTTATTTTGGATCTAAACCTGGTATCGTGACTTGTCACCCAAGAAGTCGCAGGATGCATGGAAGACTTAGGTTTGGTTATTGAATAAAACCCTTTGCTGGATTTCCGAAAGCACATCTAAACTGTAGTTTACTCATCGTAGGTTCTACGAGGACAACTACAGCATCATTCCAATAAAATATGACTTGAGACTTTTGACACAATAAGAAAAAACCCACCTGAATGGAACCTTCCCTCGGTTTTCTTTATTGATTAGTGTTTCATAACCATTGTGGTACCCAAGTGTATAAATAGTAAGAAACCAATGGGTTTGAATTTGACTCACCTTGCTGCTTTTATCGATCGGTTTGATCGTAAATTTTCTATCATTGAAGGAAATATTTCGTATTTCCGACCAAGGAAATCCAACCTTCGGAGAGATCCTGTAAGGAGGAATGATGAAGCTGCGCTGTACTAATGACTTTCTGTAAAAGGGACCAGTGTTTACTTGGGAGTTCAGAGTTATAAATGATTCTGCAGAAAATTTCCACTGAAGCTACAAACAAGGGCCTTTGAACGATCCCAAAAACTTTTCGCGCTAGACGACTGCCTGCAGTCGCAGCAATGGCCTTACCGGATGTTACAAAACTAGTTAGACTTGTACAATTAATTACAATCAGATAATTCATAATACATTTCATTTAACTTGTTCACTTGCTAAAGCTGACATGAGTTAAATCGTAATGCATCAGATTTGGTATGTTCTTTGCGTATAAGAATTGTTGGGACGACGTCTTTTCATCCACTGAGAATGTTTGGCATTATGGTGAAAACTGACAAATTCCTGTCTGAGATAGCCACAACACAGGTGAATAACTGACACGGAGAGAGCAAATGAGATGTTTTTTGCATAGGGCATAGCCGTAGGCTTAACAACAACCGAAGGGAGTCTCTAATGTGATTAAAAAGACGTGCTGGTAAATATCGCTAGTTGATAGGTCAGCGTGAACCACTACAAGGAAGAGCCATCGTGCCAAAACGACTGCCCCAGACCCTAATTACTACCCCTAAAGGAAACGAATTCAGTGCCATTTTAGTCTTAAAATCGAAGTGCAGCATTTGCGTGACCAATCTTTAAACGGGAAAGGTGACAACAAAAATCAACGCTATTGCTTGACTTCATTTGTTTGAAGGCAAAATGTGAATACCCTTCGCACAAAGAAACAGTAATTACAAGATAACATTAACAATAAAATGCAGGTATCAAAAATGAATAAGGACCAAAAAGGTGTTAATGACACGACAAACAAGTGCGACTGGTGGTACCACGTGCTCGCCCTTAAGTGTGAATGAGGCGAAGGTCATATGCACACACACACACACACACAGAAGCGCACACGTGTCCGGCTAGCAAAACTGCGTCATTCGGCGATCAACTACGAACAACCCAATTGCTGTTCAGGCAGCCATAGAGATTCGAAACACCCACCAGACGACAATTGTCACGAAGGAACAAATACTCTCGACCCGAAGCATTTAATATGTCGTAAATACTTTCTTGTGAAGGACCTATTCCCCCGGTGCGCGACGCAAATAAGTGGACGATGGTACATGAAAAGTTGTGTTCATTCTTAAAGTTTAAATGATGGAGGCAAAACTGGTGTATATTTAGGAGGTGGCAGTGAAATATGATGGTGTTGTTCACTGTTACTAATACAAGAAAAATCACCAATTTCTAGTTGAGCACAAGAGAATCCATATACTGCAGTAACAGTTGGACAGTGTCAGCCGTGTAATTTATGCAAGTGCAATCGGCAGCTATGGAGGACAGCGCATATCTTAACTTCTGCATTTTGCTCATAGTCACACGATGTCACGCTCATAGATACTGAGGTTGGCGGTGTTTCGACTTGTCTTGTTTCACCAATGTGCACTAGGCAAATGAATCGGCGCTGACCCTCAAGTGTTCTCCCACACTGGTACGGTGAGATGTGAACGCGTGATTTGAAGCACATAAACAAACATACTCAATTTTATGAAAGCCTAAGTGATCTACAGCCTTAACCTCTCCTTGCTGCATCCTGCCGTGAGTCTACTTCAAGTAAACGCGCATCAGAAACGATCGCCACAGCAATATTTTGGTGCTAGTTTTGTTAGACGTGAGATTAGAAGCTTCGTCAATCACTTGTAGTCAGGTTGAGAGAAAAAGGCAATTGAATAGTGGAATCGACCAGAGAAAGACTACAAATGGTGGTTTTCTAAATTGCCTCCTTGAGTGTCTGCGAAAGTTGGCCTCAGATTTGCGAACGTGTGACTGCTCGGGCACATTGTTTTTTTCTGTGTCGCTTTTACAAAAGCAAAGCGCCTACTTGTTTTGGGGTTTGTAAATCGCCAGGCCCATAGAATCGATTCCAAGGAGCAGCGACGTGCCACGTCGATTGCAAATTTGAAAAAAATCCACCCCATAGGTTTCCAGGCCCTCTGCAATCTCAAGATAATGAAGCATTGCGACCTGTGGATACATTCCGCGGTGTTCGATGTACGATCGGATAACCATCTGGACCCAGTCCTGCGATTGAAGGTCGTGGCTGACCAGGGTACTAAAAGGTGGAAGAAAGGTGAACTTAGAACTCAACCGCGGAGGAGAAATTTGATCACAATTTTGCTTCATTAGTGCTTAATGTCGATTTTATTGAATTCCCCATCAGAACCCGGCCCATGCATTGATCCACTTAGGCTAGCAAATCACTAATCGCATTTTGGACATGAACAAAACGTGAAGAATAGCTGGTCTATTGCCTTTGGGCATTAAATATGACGATTCTGTCCTCCATACATTACCGACGCGTATCTCCGTCATTAGTCTATTAAGAATATGAGGCCGAAATCCTCGGTTTCTTGCCAAATCATTACTTACTTTGGCATTTAAAACAAAAAAATGGGAAACACTTTACAAGTGGTCATTTGAAAAATATGCTAAAGTCTATAGGTGATGGCACCAACAGATTTACAGGACAGTAAATGATTCCACAGAAAATTGCAGCGGTTCTGTGAGTTTACAGTCATTGTGTGTAAAGGTACAAAGGTCGTTTTAAAAATCACCCAGAGCTAATTTGCAGTGAGATTTTTTGCAAGCCGAATGTCAAGTGTGGATGCTCAAATTTAGGTAAACTCTGTCTCTCACTCTGGTCTCGGAAATCTACCCATGAGGTTAATGCTGCACCGGTTTGCTCTTGGGGGGTCCAACAAGACGCACAGTAAGTTCAAACCTGACTGTTTTTTAGTGGTTTCAAATTACACAGGCTTTGAAATTCCGTGTATTGAGGAAAAATAGGCAGAACCCATTGTTTCAGTGCCAAGACTCAAAAAAAAATAATAATGTCTAAGAATGGCTTGTATATTTGACCAGTTCATGACTTAGAGAGGAGCGGTGATAGTTTATACTTATTGGCGTTTACAGGCTGTCCAAGCCAAAGCATGTTCTACCAGAGACAGTAGCAATGGGCAGAAAATGTTCTGGCTTGTCTCCCCCGGCACCCACAACAAAGCAGCGCCAGAGGAGGAACACGGTTCCACTGTGCTAAGGGATTCAGGGGATCATCGACACACACACACACACACACACACACGAGTGTTCGTGTTGTGATCGGCTGCAGGCCACTAGGTGACAGGCATCAAGCACACAACCTGGTGTCCGTCTGCATTTTATTTGCATACTAATACGCATCTGATGACTTATGGTCAAATACCAGCAGCTGCCGACAAAAAACACCTCAGCCTTTGGCATATACATAAAAGGAATGGAGCAAAGATTCTCAATTAAATCGAGATCAAATCCCAAAATTACAGCATTTTGCTTGTTATCGGCCAGCGGTAAATTAACTCCTGTCTAATAATACACTAACCCTGAATGAATCGCGCATTTAAATATAAAGGCACAAATGTAAAACAATATGCTTGAACTTAAAGGGAAATTGCGGTACTTTTCCGTTCGCATCAAAGTATGTTAGCAGCATTTGAAGCGTCATTATTATGCTTGCTTGGAAAAGCCAGTTAATGATTTTTTAACAATTTTTTCATAATCAAACGAGGAAAACAGTGTGCAAGTGAACGCTAAAACAAACGAGTTGCAGTGACCTGTTACGAATGTCACTCACGGAAGCATTGGCTCAAAAACCGGCATTGCATACCTCAATGGGCAGCATGTAATTGAACGACTGTTTAAGTTGATGGGCATTAAATTGAATTTGGATGAACAGAGTTGAGTAATGCAAGACGCTGTCACGATATTACCATGACGGCAGGTAACTGACACACGGCAGCTAACAACCAAAACGCTCAGCAAAATACATTAGCATTTCTATTCATTTTAGCGATAATTCCAACCCATTATTGCCAATTACTGTAAAAATTATGTTGTGTAATAAATGCACAATAGAGGCCTTAATTGTAACCCAATTATAGTAAAGATCTGTTTTTAAACAATGGTCTATTTTTTTAATTCAAGGCATAAGTACCATTGATTTGAGGTATTATAAGAAAAAGTAACATATCGGCTTTCATAATCAATTTTAATTATTATTATTATACGATAGCACACCTACCTTGTAAAGATGCTAAAAGTACGTATGAGGCTGTTCAATTAGCGTTACGTCAAGTATTTTTAATTAGTAATTAAAGGTTGAAAGACTGCAGATAGTGACAGTCATAAGTTGCCTGATGCACGGTAACACCTGTGTGGTTAAATAACACATTGTCACATAGACTTTGGTAATGGTCCACATCTCTCGAATAAGCATAACATCTAGATACCGCCTTGCTTGAGTGACACCGCATATGTGATCTGGAGCCCAGGTGACTAAAGGAAAGCGTGATTAAGGTGAAGCCCTCCAGAAGTCGCAAAATGGTTATTTGTATGTCAAATAACAGGTAACTGCATAACCTAAAGCCTCTTTTCTTCCTAAAATGTCAGTAGAAACTACAGTGTACAAAGGCGAATTAATAATTGGACAACATATTGCACTAGAAGCTTCGTTTAAGATCGATTGTTTGTCCAGCTCGACTACTGACACAGGTGGAGACGCGATTAACTCACATAGTAGAGGCTAAAATGATAAAATGAAACAGTCATACACATCAATAGAAACGTTAGACTAAAAAACCATACAATCTCATGCACTCAGCACACTTATATGATTTGAACAGGATTAAATTGAATAATATTTTATGCGGGTAAACTGCATACTTTGGTGAAAGAAGCTTGTCGATGGGGATGGGGTGCTGTGTGAATCTGCGCTCGTCGTAATCCCCGTACTTTGCCTGGCAAGCATAGGAGGCAAGAAGAACGGCTGTCTCCGCAGGGCAAGGGAGTTTATCCTTGAGAATCGCCTCCTTGACCTATTTTCAGGAAACAAAATGTAAACATGACCTGATATTACATTGGGAACTCAGAAGGATACTAATAGGACCATAGAAAATTTGCGTTCTGTGTGAGCCAAGCACAAAACGATATTTTTTTTGAATTATGAAATTGGTGAGTGCAAAAGCAAGTAAATAAGTGACCCAGCAGATATGATAAATTCCGACTATTCAAAAATTCCCAATGGCAGTGGGTCCCAAGAGATTTTGAATTTATAGATCATCAATTTGCATAAAATTATATTTAGCCAAAAACGAATTTGCAAGTATGAAGTACGGCATTAAATGGAAGGGAATTACCAAAATTTAAAAATCTCCCAGTGAAAACACGACTCGTTAAACTCATCGTAGATTTTTCATTGAGCAAAGCAGACAACAAAGACCCAATAAAACTTTATAAAGACAACGTACTATCTAGCCATGTAATTTAGCAATATGAATAATGCATTATTGTATTATTAGATTTACAAAACTTGGATAAATGATTCAAAGCAAGATATATTACATCCGCTTTGACAGTATGAAAGTCTCTAAGACCAGTGAAAACCGCTGTAATGCTAAGCAGAATAAAGGGAATTATCCAAAGATAAAGACAAACCAAGATCAAATCCTTGATTTATAAAAGAAATTAGAAGTTTGATCCTATACGGACCAGCAAAACCACTTGAAACTTGGTGCTTGAAAGCAAATTCGACTAGTTAAGACAATAAGGCATTACGAAAAAATTGTACTACTGCCGTTCTTAGAGCTTAATATATGAAAAATCAGTCGATGAAAAAGAAATGTGATCTAGTTTATGCGCAAATATACTTGACAGATTAACTGTAATGACGACTAAAATGGAGTACACCCAAGTATTCACTGTCTACAAAGCTTAAATGCAGCGAAATAAATAATTTTAAAGAACAGGAGGGAATTAATATAACATATTTAAGACAAAGATTCAAATGTAAATCATAGCTTGATCAAGTAATAGGGCAAGGTCATATTAAGGCCCTTTTAAGCTATTTTACAATGGTGTTTGAAGAAAGTAGCGAAGTCCAACTGTAATTAGTATCGACAAGTACCTGTAGGAAAAAGAGGCGTTGAGTAATCTCCTGAATTAACTCCTTTGTTGCGTCTTCAGGAAAAAACTTTGCAAGGAATTCGAATTCAAGAGATGCAGTTTTCTCGGTGTCGATTGAAGATATCTAAAACAGAAGGCAATATGTTGTGGACACAACTGATCAGGCAGAAGTCTAATTTAAAAAACTACATTTAAAATCACCTTTTTATCCAAGTTAAGCCACGTTTCATCACCATCTTTATTGCGATATTGCAGGCCAAAATACCACACCTCACGAAGCCCGATTGTCCTTGCAACCTAAAATATCTCTGAAAAAATAAATTCAGCAAATTACGTGATCGAGTAGACGTTTCCCGTTTATACTGGATTTAACTGCAAAATCCAATGCAGCTTCAAGTGTAGTGACACAGACATTAATCTGCAATATAAATGCAAACTTGCGACCTACAGTTTTTTGTTTCTTTGGCAACAAGGGCATACTATGGACGATGGCTCACGATTTCACATTTCCACAACTCAATTTTGGCGCAATTGCGGTGTTTATTTGTCTTCTCAAGGCTGCAGATGCATCACATGATGTTGGTAAATTATAATGACTTTTAATTGCCCATTTACAAGTATAAATTTAAAATTAGACGCCATTTCAATTTATTTTTTAACACATTCGGTGTGACTTCATAACTAGTGAATCCCAAGTTCAGGAAGAAAGACTATTAAG